CAAGATCGACTCAAGATAATTTGAGACCTATGCAGCACAGGTACATGTATATTGGTACTGGTACGATATTGGTATGTTGATACAGTAAAATCTTTAAAAAAATAGGGTACGAGTACAACTTAATACGTTTGTAAAAAAATATTTATTTTTAATTTGGAGTAATACAAAAATTGATTAAATGGTTTAATTTGTTAAGATCCAACATACAATCGACATTTAATGCCAACAATATATGTATAAGATATACCAAAATTAAACATCATTATATTAAATAACTTACAAATCATAATTTAATTTTAAAATCATGTTAAGCATAAAACTAAAAAATGAAAAAAAAAATCTAGTAAAAAGAATTTTATCTCTATAGTAGAAGAAAATATTGTTTCAACTGAGTTACTACACGACTTGGGTATATACACGCCAAAAATTAAGAAGAAAAAATTTGAGTATGTTTTGTGTACCCGGAATGTATGCAGAAAGACCATACGCCGGTAAGTACCCGGTATGTCAAAGTACCTATATTTCATAGACTCAAGATAATTCTAAATGGGAATTTTTATATTTTTTTTTATATTTTTTTGCAAAGTATGTATTATTTATTTAAAATTTAATTTTTTCATTATTGAGATAAAAAAATTATTTATTAAATATTTATATATTATTTTTTTATATTTGAGGGGCTAATTGATTTTTAAGATATAATTTGGAGGGTAAAATAAAGTTCGAAATGAAATTTTGTGCCACGTGAGTAAGTTCTTTTTTATTGTAGACAGAATGTAACGACAGAGGTCAAATTGATCAAAATTTTAAAAATTTGAGAGATAAATTGATATTATACTAAGTCTGAGAGTCAAATTAAAAAATACATAAAAATTTGGAGGACAAAACAATAATTTCTCTGTGAATTTTGAGAATTTCTTAGGTAAAGGTGCAATTGCTCCATCAGCTACATTTGTTTTTGTAACAAAATAAAATCTGTAGTTTTATTTATTTATTTTTTATTTCGAGTTTGATTTTTGTAATCAAACAAATTCTTTCTTTTCCCTATTTCTTTTATTCTTGTTATTGTTTTGTACACAACAGAATTTAATCTTTTTAAATACAGTGAAAATTGTCCAACAGAATTTTGAGAAAAACATATGAGTGAAATTTTCAGAATATATTTATTAAGTGTATATGTATTACCAAGCGTGAGTTGGTACATTTTGTGATAATTACTAATAACACATTTAACGAATTATATTTTTTTCTTAAATTAGAATTTTCTTTTAATAAAAAAAATTACTTTATGATTCTTTTATTTATTTATTTTTTTGATAGCCAAGTCCTGAGTTGTTGGTATGGATACTGATTTTTGATAGTCAACTTTCTCCCTCACCATTTGATGATGGAATGGAACTTCTCTATTACAAATATGAAATGAAGAGGATCACAATCCTCTCCAAAGAGCAAGTTTGAAGTAATTAAAGCGGACAAACATTAAATATTTTAAGAACTCATTATATATTTTATTTCATTGAAAATTTAGAAAATTAAGATAATAATAATTTTTTTTTTTTTTTTTTTTGTGAGATTTTCTTAGTCAACCTTACTTGGGTGATTCAACAAAAAAAAACCTTAGGTGATGAACAACAGAAAGGCTATAGTCCTAGAAAAATAAAATAAAAAAGTCTTGGCCACTTTTAATAATGATAATGATTTATATACGTTTAAACAAGTTGTCATAGTCTCATAGCATATGAATAAGTCTTGGCCACTTTTGAATAATTTTCTAATTATTATTTTTGGGTTTGTAGACCCACTGGACAGAGTGGCCTAATAATCTTGAGCCACATTTGGCTACTTGTTGAACAATTTGTGTTGAATTTTCAAATTTTGTCTTTTATTTTTTCTAAAGAAACTAAAAATTAGTTTCATAAAATAAAAAAATAAAAAAAACATTATTTTCATATGATTCTTGAGACGAAAATAATTTTTGAAATTTAAAAATTTTGCTTGATATTTATTTTTTTGTCAAATATAATTTTACCCAAATTTAAAAATATTATTTGACGTTTATTTTTTTAATATATAATTTTAAAGATTATTTACTGTATTTCCCTTTCTACCTTTAAATTATCAATTGAGTTTACTAAATTCCTAAAATATATAAATTAAAATCTATTTAGTTCTTAAAGTATTTCCAAACCCATTTAATCCCTGATAGAATTACAAAAATAAAATATAAGCTCATAAATATTATAAAGGGGAAAGCACCATTAAATCCCTAATTTGAGAATGTTAACCCATTTAGTCCCGACGTTTTTTTTGTTGGACTAATAGGTCATATTTTATGTGTAAAGACATTAGTACCCATTTTTTTATGCGTCTGGGTTAGTAATTGAGGGGGTAATTTTGGATTGGTGTTTATGTGTAATTTACAGAATTGCCCAAAAAGCTTACTATAGACCTTTTTTAGATTTCCCTCATTTCCAAACATCATCCGATGTTTTTGATGTTTGTGGATGTTTCAAACATCAGATTCATTTTAAAAAAAATTACCATCATCAAAACATCATAAAAAATCGGCAACATCGCAAAACTTCTGTTTAAATTTGAAACTAACAGGTTTCATACCTGTTCAATTCAAAACCAAGAGCCACCTTCTTTTATTTTTTCTAAAGAAACTAAAAATTAGTTTCATAAAATAAAAAAATAAAAAAATAAACATTATTTTCATATGATTCTTGAGACGAAAATAATTTTTGAAATTTAAAAATTTTGCTTGATATTTATTTTTTTGTCAAATATAATTTTACCCAAATTTAAAAATATTATTTGACGTTTATTTTTTTAATATATAATTTTAAAGATTATTTACTGTATTTCCCTTTCTACCTTTAAATTATCAATTGAGTTTACTAAATTCCTAAAATATATAAATTAAAATCTATTTAGTTCTTAAAGTATTTAATTCCAAACCCATTTAATCCCTGATAGAATTACAAAAATAAAATATAAGCTCATAAATATTATAAAGGGGAAAGCACCATTAAATCCCTAATTTGAGAATGTTAACCCATTTAGTCCCGACGTTTTTTTTGTTGGACTAATAGGTCCTATTTTATGTGTAAAGACATTAGTACCCATTTTTTTATGCGTCTGGGTCAGTAATTGAGGGGGTAATTTTGGATTGGTATTTATGTGTAATTTACAGAATTGCCCAAAAAGCTTACTATAGACATTTTTTAGATTTTCCTCCTTTTCAAAATGATGTTTGTGGATGTTTCAAGCATCAGATTCATTTTAAAAAAAATTACCATCATCAAAACATCATCAAAAATCAGCAACATCGCAAACATCGTGAACATCATCGTGAACAATAGCAACATCAGAACATCAAAACATCATCAACAAAAAATTATCATCATCAAAAATTACCATCATCAAAACATCAGAACATCAAAACATCATCATCAAAAAATTACCATCATCAAAACATCATAAAAAATCGGCAACATCGCAAAACTTCGTGAACATCGCAAACATCATCGTGAACATCAGCGTGAACAACAGCAACATCAGAACATCATCAAAACAGTTTGATGTTTAGGGCCTAATCGTATAACACAGTGATGTTCTTCAGACTCTTATTTTGCAAATCACATCTCCACTATCAACAAAACCCCACTTTGATCATCTTCTCTGTCATTGATCGATTTCTCTATTTTTTTCAATCTTTCAATCATGGAGATTTATCATAGACAAAGAAAAAAAAAATTATATATATACATATACATATACATTTACATAGAGAGAGAACTTAGAAAAGAGGGATTTCGATCTCAAAAAGAGGCCAAGGCATCGTCGCGATCGAAGGGACACAAAGAGAAATCTTCATAAGGTTTGATCGTATTGGATCTGAAGACTCAATCGAGACGGCGGTTCTGGAAGTCGATTGTTATCGTGCATTGTCGGGTTCGGATATCGGACAGTTCGTCCCTTCTGTCGCGGCGGTGGTTCGGAGCACACATCTGGACGCTGATGGACTACATTAGAACACCCACAGTTTCCTTTTTTTTTGTTTGTTCTCTTTCTATGATACGATTGGAACACCCACAAACAAAGGGGAAAGCACCCACAAACATCAAAAACATCCAAAACATCGGATGATCAAATATGACATTTTTTTTGTTTTTGTTTTTGATCACTTTGGAGAAGTTATTGATGCTTTCGCGTTAAGAGAGAGAGAGAGAGACGACTTTTTTGATGTTTAGTGGTTTGGATTGTTACTTGTATAAGAGAAGATGATCTGATGATGTTCTCAATATTGATGATGTGTGATGATGTAATTGATGTTTGATGATGATGATGATGATGATGTTGTTGCAAAATAAAATCAATATGGGTAAAAATGTAAACTCTGTATTCAATATATCAAAAACACATGTCACACTAAAAATAAAAAGGACTAAATGATTTAAGAAAAAACACTCAGGACTAATTAGGGTAACATTTATCAAAATGGGATTTATGAGTAATTTTTCCTATTATTAAATTAATAAAAAGTCTTACATAGGTAAGACTTTATTTCATTAAAAAAACTAAATTTATATTATGTTTTTAAAAAAGAGTTTTATTTCACAGTGTGTTTAAATTAGTATCAGAGCTTAGTTTTTCTAATTTTTCCAATAAAATTATATGAGTATTAGATATACTGAAAGTAGAATCTAATAATTTAAATAATACTATTTCACTACAAATAATAATCACTACAAAAAAAATCAAGATTTAGTAGCGGCCAAAATTGTTGCTAAAAGCAGGAAAAAGCGTCGCTAAAAACTAGAATACCTTTACCCGTGGTTGCAATAATGACGGCCAAACCGCCGCAATAGCCCGTCGGCATATCCTTATAGTGATGTTTTCTGCAAACGCCGGTATAGCTATTTTTATTGCGATGGTCGATGTACTGACAATTATAAATGTCGCTATATCTTGAATTTACCAATTACTTGCTAACTTTATAACGATGGTTCGACTGCCGCTATATCCTTCACTTTTGCGACATTTTGTGAATCGCTGCTATATTTTGACTCTATTCCATAAGTTTTACAGTGTCGCTATAGCCATAGAATTCGTTTTAAATTTTATTTACAGCAACGGTTATTAACCGCGGTTGTAGGCTATTTTTTTTTTTTTTTTTTAGGGGGGGTTTTTTTGGAGGGGGGGTGAATCAGTCATAAATAAAATGACAAAAAACTACAAGATACAAGGGGTATACCCTAGGAGCTAACCAACTATACAAAGACACATAAACCAAAACACAAAAAAAGACAATCTAAACAGCGAAAACCATCATGTTCACACACCACATAAGCAAAGAGCAAATGAGAGCAAGAACAAGGCAAACAAGACAAAAAAAACCTAAGAGCAACATAACCTGGTTACACTAAAAAGATCCAAACAACAAAAGGAACTAGAAACAAAACCCAAAAGCCATATTATAGAGACAATTTGATTAAAAAATGATCAAAACAGACACCATAACCCCTAAGACAACAAACAACAGCAAACTGTGGGCAAACTGTTGACAGTAAACACCAGCCATAGCACCACACACCAGCCATAGCACCACGCACTAGCAGCAATGACACCAGGCATCAAAGTAAACAACAGCAACCAATGAAAAAGCCAACAACCTGCTCACATTATATATCTATAACAACACTATTTTATTCTAATGGCTCAATACTCAATAATTGTAAAAGGTAAAAGAGTCTGCATTTTCATAATCCCAAAATATCCAAAACAACTTAATTAAAACGTTCATTACATAAGCCTGTAATACAAAAAAGATCCAATGTTTGTAGGAAACTAATAGCCCACACCATAATCCAAAAGATAAACTTGTCACATAACAATAGTACTTAAAAGTATTACTCATAACGCCATTTTATAAAGACCTCCATGAAAAATGTTCAAATCGAGAAATGACGCCCATTGTTTGATACTTTCAAATTGTCTTATTTCCTGCAATAAAAATAATTGAATAAGCACAAGTATCATTTTCAATTTTAAAATCTATAAAGAAAATTTAGACTACAAATAATTCTCGACAAGTCTTATTTATTTATTTTTTTTGGTAAGTATGTGGTTTACATATCAAAAAATAAAGATTACAGTGAAATTGAAGATCATATTTGCAAGAATAGGAGGATAAACAAGATCTAGACATAAAATTCCCCACAACAATATTTTTTTTGACATCCATTCATTTTAATCTCATTTTCCCCTAACCTTACCCAAAAAGGATTTTTTTTTAAAATTCTTTCAATTTAGTTTCTTTTTCTATCTTTTCTCTCTACAAATTCAAGATTCAAAAATTTATAAACTGCACAATTTTTATTTTGTCAAACACATTATGAAATCTTCGATGCCAAATCACTTGTACAATGCCACATGATCCCTAGTCACAAGCCTTCAAGATTCATATTGTGTTTTCATTTCAATAGTTTGTATAGTCATAAAGCAACTGATCATAATAATATTTTTCAACCCTTTGATTTTTCTCATAAGTAACAAAAGGTGTTAACTAGTCTTTTTTTCTTTTCAGGTGCAAGAGAAGGTGAGCTTGAGATGACCCAACAAAGTCCAAAGGGCAAAAACACTGATGACTGGGAAAACAAAAGTGGGATAGGAAGAAATATTTTACATGCTCTCTCTCTCTCTCTCTCTCTCTCTCTATGTGGTGTATGTCCCATAAGCATAAAATCAAGTACTTATTATTTTCTGAGACTATAATCCAAGTCATTGATATCCCATCCCTACAACAATGAATCCCTTAATTTGGCTAAATTGTAAGCAAAAAAGAAAGTATATAATATTACCTTGTACCAAATCAAGGGTTGGTTCTTGGGTAAAGTGGGTTTTGACACCCAAACTGAAGAACCTCCACCTGAGAGGCCTAATTCTTCACCTTTCAGCCCAGTCTGCACCAAAAGAGACAAAATAAGAGTGAAAAGCTGAATGTTACTGCATTTAATTCTTCGATCAAATCAACCTCGTAGCATTACAAAGCCGAAAATATGTCGGATCATATACTCTAATCAATTAGAAATAACAAAAAAAATTTGCATTAAAAATGACATTTCAATTTGCCAGTTCAATTTCCAGTTTCTATTGGATTACTATTTAGGAATTGAATATAGGAGGATATTGTGAAAATCAAAACAAACTTACCTGATATGTCCATTGCTGTGAGGATAAATCAATGGTAGATCCATTATTTAGACCTTTCAGTTTCACCGGACCAGTTACCCCAGCACCCCATTTGTCAAAGAATGCTCCATAGTTCTGGACAATGTTAATAGGGTTCTGTTAGACAAAAATTACTTTCCAGTAATATTTAGACTGTCTAAACTAATCCTCCTCATGGAAGCACCATTGAAGAATATAAACTAGATTCTAGATAACAATCTCATTTTTGATGAATGCTAACATAAATCTAAATCAGGAAGGTCAAACCTGAAGTCCAACTGTCAAACTCAAGAGATCAATTCTATTCTTTCCAGGGACGAGTGTGATGGGAACCTCAATGGCAACCTTAGCATTGCCTCTGTTGCCTTCGTCACTCCCTACAATGAACCATTGGACTTTTTAGGCATTATAGACAAATTGATTTGGCAGCCTTGCAAAATTTATATCTTGGTGAATATGGTTTATCTAATAAGCATCCCAAATGGTTTAAAGGACATTTTTAATGAAGCAAAGGAGAACCCATAATATGTGAGTGTGCGTTTTTGTGCAAATTATGCAAAAGATTAAGTTTATGCCCAATTTACCCCTCACAGACCCCCCATCAAATGGGGACTAAACTGAGTGTAGTTTTTTAAAAAAATAAAACAATGTCTGGACACCTTATGATATACTCAAAAGAGATAAATCTCCATTACAATTATGCCGTATACTGATGAATCAAAATAAGATGCCAATTTATCCGTATCTCTTGCAGGGTAATCAAATAAGTCTATGCCTCCACAATAATTGACGGGGTATAAGTCAGTAGAAGACACAAAGAAGAAACATCAAATATAACCTCCAAAAGAGATAAAAACAGAAAAGAAACAATTGTCTTAAAAAAAAAAAAACACCATCCAAAAAACTTATGTCATTGCAACATCTTTTAGTTCCCATTACCTGCAAGTTTCCCGTTAATAAAAGCATAAAGGACATGGCCAAGTGATTCCACATGAAGAACTGTTTGGGACCCACCTTGACTGTTAGTGCTGCAAAAGTGTCCAGGAATTGTTATTATGATATCAAACATATCAAAGCCATTGGATTCAGATCACAAATTTTTAAAACAAAAGGTTTTTAATACCTTAGTGAATACCTAAGATAGTCACTCTTGTAGGCTGCAGTATTTATTTGCTCTGTTAACCCAAGTTGCATAAATGTATTGTTACTTGAGATACCAACTGGTTTATTAAACCAACTCCAGCCTGACAGGAATGCTTCAGAAGCACCAACATTATCATTCAATGATTGACGCGTGAATTGTGGAATTGTAGCCACAGAATTAATTTGTCACATAAAAATAACAAATTAGCCTATCTTGTTATTGGAATAAAGAGAAATTCATATTTTACAGCCCCATATTTATTAAAAGGGAAATTTGGTTGTTAATTTTTTTTTTAAATAAAGAGAACATAAGTTAGCTGTTATGGTATGAAATGGAGTTCCATGAAGATACTGCATCATCTGATTGTGACCAAATTTCTAACTCTTTATACAAATGTAATAAATATAGATAAAAAAGCAAACCTTTATCACACACTGTTTTACTTGAGCTAATATTAAAAAATAAAAGAAAATGAAACCCTTCTTCAAAAACATGCTGATGTAATTTAAAACCAACAAGTATATTAAAAGGAAAAGCTTGTAGCTAACAAAGTTCTTGTGTAGTAGCACGGTAAAATGTAATACATAATTTGAGCAAATGAGGCAAACCTTTGCAGTATTAAGCACTACATTTTTGCAATCAGGTAAGATGCTCACAGACCATGCTGGTAAATTATATGAATTGCCATTGAAATTCACAATTGCATCAGATTGGGAATCCACATTGGCAAGAAAAGCAGTACATAAACCTGACCCAGTTTTATATACACCTGCTTGAAATGGGGAACATCCCTTTTTAAGAACAACAAATTCTATTCATAAAGTATACAACATGAATTATAAATCAAAATTTTGTTGACCAACATCATTTCTTTTTCCTTAATATAGGCAATGATTTTTGAATCTTGCCAGTCACTCGCTTCATGGAAGCTCTGGAGTTATCACTGGGCCCAAGACAATTTCAAACCATCTACCATGATATACATAAGCATTTTTTTTTTTTTGGGTTTGATTGAGCAGATAAAATTTTGTTTTACTATAGAAACATTAGATTGTTGAAGAACCACAATCAATCACAGAGGAGAAAGCTCCTTGAGAAACCGGTTAAGGATTAGAGAATTATAGGTATACCTCCAAATTTGGACCAAGGGAAGTAATTGTTGGACCAATGCCAACCAAGGTTCTGAAAAGCGGTTGCGGTCACCGTAACGGTGGCGGTGGTGCGGTTACGGTTGCGGGGTGTAAAGGCCGTAGCGTAACGGTTGCGATAACCGGAACCGTGAATTTTTTTATTTTTCGCGCAATTTGAAAAAAATTTACCGATACGCACATTTTTTTTTCATGATCATATTTATTGGGTTTTAAAATAAATATTGATCAATTTTTATAAATTTTTAAGTTTGATCCAATATATTTCATATTTTTAAATCACTATAAACTAAGTTTTTTACATTTTATTTTAATAATTAATGACTTTATATTATACAAAAAATCAATCACTAACTATTATATATAAGATAAACAATGACAAAAGTAAGAGAATAAATAAAAATCTAAATATATATATATATATATATATATTAATCAAGTCAAATAAATAATGACCACACTTATTATTATTATTATTATTATTATTAAACAATATATAGATAAACACACACAAACAAAATGGTTGAGTGATAGCAACTGAATAGAATAGTATAGGTCTTACAGCTTTAACAAATCAATAACATGTTTTTCATCTTCCCTCTTCTCTCTCTCTATCTCTTGTTCCTCTATCTTCCCTCTTCTCTCTCTATCTCTCTTCCCCCATTTTCAACTTTTTTTTTTGTGTGTGTTTTTTTAAAGAAGCAATTCGAAACCGTTACATAATGGTGCGTAACAGGCCGTTACGACCGTTACAGCACCGTTACGACCGCTATAATAGCCGCTATGGCCGATACACCTGTGAATCTCAATCACATTGCAAAAACGGCTGTAACGGGTGGCGGTAACTATCACAACCGTTACGTAACGACGTTACATAACGGTTGCGGCCGCTTTTTAAAACCTTGGTGCCAACCATTGTTGGTTCACAAAGTTTTATGGCTTTATGCACATCTTTTAGATGGCCCCACTTAGGTTGTCTAAGAAGTCCTGCAACATTGGGGAAAATTTTTAAAAGCCTTTTATAGATAGAAGACAAACTTCAACTATTAAAAAAAATAAAAGAAGAAAAGCCGCAATTATGGGTTGATATATGTATCTTTCAGATTATAAAATAACAACATTCTATCAACATCTAACACTTCTAGATTGCAGCATTTCATAAACTGAAGTATTAGTTTGGTTGCTTATGGGATGCAAATCATTTATTATTGATAGAGGGAGAAAATCATACCATACTCATCAATTGGAGCATCATAATCATAACTTGTAGCAATGAAAGGTCCGCCAGTGGTCCGGCCAAAATTAGTCCCACCATGGTATTGGTAAAGCAATCAAAACATATTTAAAATATAAGCTTGCATTCTGATTAATTTAAACCAGATTCAAAGTAGACTGTGAATCATAAGTATCAGGCAATTGTCATAAAAACTTGTAACAAGTATAATAGCTTTCAAGAAAATAGAATTACCATATAATAATTTTGGAAGGTTCCCCCTCGCTGGAAGAATTGTGCTACATCAAAAGCAATGTCTTCCACAGGTCTGTATGGCACAGCACTGCCAAACGAAAGAAACCTAACATTCCAGATAGCCGTAATGGTTAAAAACACAGAAGCATTAAAAGAAAAGAAAGCTGGATGTTGATAAGATCAACTTCTGATCCAAATAACCAACATGCTGTGAGAGGCTAAGATGCCAGACATCTTACCATCCAGTCCAATTCTCAGTCCACATTTTTGGTTTAGTAGCAGAATTGGGAGTGAATTGGTCACAATAAAATCCATTGCAAGTGTTGATCTGTATGTAGTCAAAAGAACATGTGAGCTGGTAAAAACATGTAGTCATATTTCAAAAGCATTAAAGATCAAGTTCTGTAGAAGTTAGGTGTTGATGTTAACAAGCCACACAAATATATTGGAATGAAACTCACAATAGAGATTGGCAACTGTTCCATAAAATAGTAGACTCATGTGTGCACTAGTATTTGATAACTGGGTTCAACAATGGGTAGGAGATGGAACGTTATAATTTGTTGAATTTCAATTTGGGAGGTCTGCTTGTTTTTTTCTATGTTCAGCTGTATCAATTGAACCTTCACATCTATAATGACCAATTTCATACTTTCAAATTTGCTTCATAGTTGATATTGAACAGGAAATTGGTAAGAATGGCCATGAATTGTTTATATTGAAGCCATAAATGTCTATTTTGATGCAGCTTTACTAAAGTAAATCAAACTTCTATGATTGAAGAAATGAAAGGAAAGAGTAGTAAGTTCACTAATTTTGTTGTTTCATGTATCCCTTATAAAGATAGGTCCTTATTGTCTTTGGATTATTGTAGTAAAAGAGTTCGGGTATACATAAATGTATAGGTTTCAATAACACACTAGAAGCATTAAAATGAGTTGGTACATGTCCCTGAAATATTATTTTTAAAGCTACAAATTCTTATTTGGAATAATTCATAGTCAACTATGTTGGTAACTCGATCACATTTTTCTGGTAAGTGGGATATCAAAAGTACCTGAGGCATGATATAGCTGATTGACATCATGTAATTGACATACTTGATGTGGATAAAAAAAGTTAACAGGCAATGCTTTTCATGTAATATTTCTGTCACGACCCAAACCCGCCCCTATGGGTTTAGCACCGTAACCGGCCAGTAATCCGAGATTACCAAAGGCCTGCTTAACAGTAATACAGTAATACAGAGTACAGGGGCTGGCGGAAGCCAATACAGTAATTAAACAATGTCCAATGAGCTGTGACAGTCTGTATGCAAAAAGACTTTTCATTCAAATATATATAGTCGAACAGAACAGAATGCACATATATACACTCATTCAGTTCAGGGACCTAATCCCTATCAAACAGTACAGTACAGTAAACAGTCTATACAGTTATGCAAAACAGATACAGTGACAGACGGGGAAATTAAAAACACCCTTAAGCCGTAGCTTGACAGCTCGGAACCTCGCATTGAGGCACATAGGTTGGCTCGACAAAACTGGAGTTTACCCTGACGCTCCTAGCTGCGGTCTGGTGCCTGGACACCTACATATATATATAAGCAGTGAGTTAAAACCCAATGAATAACACAATGCGTAAAGGGGTTAAGAATGAATGTCCTTACAGTAATGAAAACAGTTCATTAAATCAGTATTTCAGTCGTTCAGTCAGTGCAGTCATATGTGGTACATCCATTAGCATAACAGTACAGTAAACAGTAGGTCTTAAAAGACCGAGCAGTAAATGATGGCCATCAATCAGTAACAGTAGTGGTTCCAACAAGGGAACCGACAGAGATCTCTGTAACAGTAACAGTAAACAGTAGTTGCTAAGGATGCCACAATACAGGTCAGAATATAGGACATACATTCATTCAATTAACAGTAACAGTTCAGAAAGCAGTACAGTTCAATTGTTCAGAAGATAATCATTTTGAACATATCTTTACACAGTTGTTACTCACAGAGTTCTGGGCTACAGTAAAGCTAGAGCGCATCCCCAGTCGCCAACCCTACACAGTTACAGATTGAACACACACTAAGCTACACAGTTTGGAAAATAATAACTTAATCCCTAACTTGCCTCGGTGTGTTCTACATCTATGTCCTCACTAAGATGCCTTAAACTAGGCCTAAGAATGCCTAGGATGAGATGAGGATGCAAAGATACACTTTAAAAGCATTTTCAGACTTTTCAGAAAACAGGGGTCACGCTCGAGCGTAGGTTACTCCGCTCAAGTGAACATGCAGACAAAGGTTTCCGCTCGAGCGTAGACTTACCCGCTCGAGCGTTCTGCAAAACAGTCAAAAGTGCTGGATAGGCAAAAATCACGCTCGATTGGGCGCTCGACACCCGCTCGAGCATCAGATACAACGTCCCGCTCGAGCATCAATTATTCCGCTCGAGCGGACTTCAAAACAGAACAAGAATACTGGGAGCACGATTTCCACGCTCGAGCACCAGTCACCCCGCTCGAGCGCGAGTCCAAATTCTGAAAATTCCAGATTTGAACCTCAAGCTCAAAACCAAGTTTTAAACCATAAATTTCGATCCTCTTGGGCCAATGTTCCAGAAAACACATCAAAACTCATACTTTAACATGATTCAAAGCTCAATTTGTAAAATCAAAGCCCAAGGGTGTTTCAAATAAATCCAATTCAAACCAATTTCCATAAATATGAAGAACATGCAAACATGCATGAATTTAAATCATTTCAAAGCTTCAATTTGATGCTCTAAGGAGCCAATTGTTCCAAAAACAAGATGAAAACATGGACTTAACATAACCATGAGCATGCATAAGACAATTCTCCATGGAATCAACTCAAGTTCAACAATTCAAACACGCATGCATGGAATGAGCTCTTAATTCAACAACTTGAGCTAGTTCTAGGCTTGGGTCACTAAGAACACAAGAACCATGGATGAACATTCACAAACACAACAATAAAAGGTTGAATTTCCTTACCTAAGTCTTCAATTAGAGCTATGGAGGCTCAATGTTGCAAGAACTCCTTAATCTTCCTAATTTCCAAGCAATTCTCTCAAGAACAAATCAATTCTCTCCCTCTCACTCTCTTGGTCGGTTGAGACAAGGAAAGGCTGATGGAAATGTTGATTCAATGTGTATACAAGTCTCAAAATGTGTAAGGTAGTGGCCATTAAGTGTGGCAAAATGGTAAATAAGTGTAACAATGCAATTTATCAATATTTAATCTAATTTAATCATACCAAATCGATTTTCAGATAAAGATGCTATAAATTCACATAAATCACGATGATCATAAAACACTAATCGGTTTCCGATTCGGCCGCCGATAAGGCCTTCAATTCGCAATTTAACCATAAAAACACGAACAGATAATCAAATAACCAAACAGATAGAATTATAATTAAATAGGTATACTCAGTCAATTCAGTTTCAATTTCAGTCAGTCAGTTCAGTAGTTTATTCAGTTCACTTATCATTCATAATCAGTTTCAGTTTAACGGTAATCAGTGGTTATTCGGTAAACAGTGACGAGGGTTGTTACAATTTCATATACAAATGAGATTTTGAATATTTGGGATAATAAAATGGAACACTACAAAATAAAGCAAGTACTTTGGGGCTAAGAAAAACATAGCTGTATGTATATATATGTGTGAAAGGGGCAATATATATGATTAAAATATTTATCTAGTAATATCAACTATATTGGGTAATGATGTCTATTAATGAGCATGAGACTAGGAAATACAACTGTGCAAAATAAGAAGTGGCTTTTTGATGAAGTGTCATGGGTGAACTCAGTCCCACTTAATTGGAATAAAACATAGCCCTAATAGGATGGACTAGTTGATCAGTTTCAATATTACCTTTCCATATACTTGGGATGAGGAATGAATAAGGACTTATGAATTGTCTGTATCATGATTTTCTGAGCATCTTTATTACTATGATTATTATGATCATTATAATGATTGTTGTTGTTAAGATCATGTTCAAACCAATAAACAAAAATGTAGGCATTATTACTCCATTGTGGCATTTTATCAAACACCTAGCATACATAATGAATCCTCAAGCATGAGATTTTATTATGTACCATCAACAACAATCCATTCACTTTACTAATTATATTGGTTAAAATATGAATATCATATGAGAGGGTAATTTATGTGGAAATTGGGCCGAGCTAGGTGATGGGCCGTTCTATGGGCTACAGTGAGAAGGACTGAGTAAAAGGGCCTGATAGTTAGCCCGGTCCCAGAGAACCTTGCAGTTAGCTCGGTCACCACGGTCGGCACAGTGGCAGTTAGCTCGGTCAAACCATCTCGAGCTGAGGTATTGTTGGCTTCTGCTTAGGACCTTGCTGTTAGATAGCTTGGTCCAAGCTCATTGTGGATAGCACGGTTTCAGACAACCCAGTTGGAATATGTCAACTGAGGTACACGCGCAGTGAAAGGAAGAACCGAGCTAGTTGGAGCTCGGTCTAGTCTACGGCTTTAGCGTGGCCATGTTATCTGGGTCGTATTGACATCCAACCATGGTAAAACCATCTCACTTGGTTTAAGCAGTGAGGGAGGTGTTGAAAGATAAGCATTATCTTTCAGGAATGTGATTCCTAGGAGGACTCTACATGGAGGAGTAAGAGTCCTACTACGATTGTGCCACACGGAACCTATAAAAGCTTATAACATCACCTATGGAGAGGTAACGCAACTTTGATTCCCGAATATAGAGAGTTTTTGTCTATTTGTCTATTTTTGCTAACTTAGGCATCAGAGAGGTATTCGGCACACACCCGCCGACTAGCTCACATTTGTGTTTTCAGGGAGTAAAGCGACGACGTACGAAGGAACGCAGACTTGATCAACAGGATTATACGAGAAAGAACATTTCTTGCTCGTACAATTGGCGCCGTCTGTGGGAATATCAGACAAAGAACAAAACCTCTTGATCAAGTTTCCCTCGCTAGTTGAATGGCGCACAACGAAGATTTGCCGCAATCCGCCATCGACGGACAAACCCCAGAGGGGGGTGGGAGGCGCGAAGGTTTGCCCTCTATCCCTCCCATGGTGGACTTAGAGCCCCAGCGACAGAATCCCCGGAGGGATGCAAGGGGGAGGCGGAATAATAGCCCCCGTCGCTCTCGCTCACAAAGTCCTAAAAGGTAAAGGCGAAGAATCGACCCTCAAGCTCTGGAGGATCGCGTAAAAGAGCAAGATGAACTAATAAGGAAGATGGCGGCGGACATGGAGGCCCTGAAGCGCCAGATCAAGGAAAAATGGGTGGCGACA